GAGGTGCTAGTTTCAAATCCTTTTTAGTCTGAAATCTGTATGCTAGATATTGAGTAAGGTGGTTTTATTGTTTTTTGTCACTTTGAATAATATTTCTGTTCATGTTAAAAACAAAATCAACTCTCTGTATAAATATATCAGGTGACCGTTAAGGCCCATGGGCCTCTTGTTTCATATTCCATCCTATTGAAATTAACCAAGATCTAATATGTAAATTTTCATTCAGCTGGTGAAAATGGCCAAAAAACTCAAGAAAGAAAAAGTAAATATGGACATCATCAACTTTGGAGAAGAGGTAATAATTATGATATCATATTTGTGCCTGTAAAGTCATTTTCAAATTGTAAAGTGTTTATAATTGTGATTCACAAATTTAAGAATTCACAATTTTAAGATAATTTAATTTTAAACAATCACATGGTTATCAAATTTCAATATTACATAAAACAGTATCATAAATACATGAGTTGAAGTTATTTGAAAGAATTGGCTTTCAAGGAAAGAGAATCTGAATACCAGGGGTAGAAATCTTTACAAAGACATGTGTTTGATGATTTAATATGTATGTCAAACTTTTTACCAGGTATGTATGTTATGATTCTTTGAAGGGCTTCAACACTGAAAAGCTGACTGCCATGGTCAATGCTCTGAACGGAAAAGATGGAACTGGGTATGTACTGTATAAACTGTTGGGACATGAATAAAGATTGTAACCGCTTATGACATAACTGAACAAAAAAGTTTTGTTTTATAGTTCAAAAACCGGACTCAGTTTCGTTAAACAGAAATTTAACTTTTAAAATCTGTAACAACTAGGGGGTGGAGACCCAACGTCCCTGCAAGGAAGTCAGTTCCATAGTGGCGGTAGGGATTCTGGGGTGGATACCTTAATTGTATTCAACAGTGCTCATCAGGGAAAGCAGAGCAAATGAAAATAGAAATGATGAACAACACCACTGAATCCGGTACAAAATGTAATGTTTGATTCACATCCTAAGTGCTGACATGTTTCTACTAAAGGGAGGCTATCTTCAGGTTGCTAAGAGTTACAGTAGGATAGGTACCAGACTGTTACCCATAGCAACTTGATAACCACACAGTTATTATCCCCCGCTTTCACCGAAACGGGGGATATTGTCCGTCTGTCTGTCTGTCACGCTTCGTTTTGCGTGCAATAACTACAACAAATGTTAACCAATTTTCTTCAAACTTGATCACAGGGTTAAATGCCTTAAGGGCTTGGCCAAGTTTGATGACCACTTTCAGCGGACCCCATTTAACAGAGTTATGGCCCCTTGAATACTGAAAACGTCATTATCTGACGCGCTTTGTTTCCATGCAATAACTACAACAAATGTCAATCGACTTTCTTCAAACTTAGTCACATGGTTAAATGCCGTAATATAAGGGTTCGGCTTAGTTCGATGACCACTTTCAGCAGACTTTATTTGTCGGAGATATGGCCCCTTGAATAATGAAGTTTGACAACCACTTTAATCGAACCCCTTGATTAACAAAAACGTCATTATTTGCAGTTTCCGCTATATAACTCTAGCAAATATTAGCCAAATTCCTTCAAACTTGATAACAATGTTTGTGTTCCTCTGTCTTTCCACCCATCTCGGACACTCTTTGGTTTTCTTGTAATAAATGCTGTAGATATTATTCAGATGTTTCAACCAAATTCCATGTGCACATCTGACTCATGCTAAGTATTTACGGATAAACAATGAGGTATAGGGCTTTTTTTTTCTTCAAGTTTCAAGCTATACATTATGTCTCAACAGCACGATACTAACATGTTTAAACCTAACCTCAATAATGTTAATTGTCATTGTACCATAGTTGCAAACACCATGTAATTGTGCTCTGACGACGGCCTCCCTTTGGCCGAAACATGTCAGCACTTAGAATGTCAATCAAACATTACATTTTGTACCGGATTCAGTGGTGTTGTTGCTCATCATTTCTATTTTCATTTTAAAATCTGTTATAACCCTGTCAGGAGTTTAACACTAGGCAACTATATAACTAAAAAAATATAGTTTCTGAAGTCAAAACATGTAGATATGGACATTATAGTCTTGTATTGTAGTGTGAAAACATTAATTAATACCATGATAGCCCCTCCAATGCCCCTATCTCTCTGTCTTTCACTCTTATAACCCCAACCCTGCTACCAGTCACTAACATATATGTTTACATGTTTGTCATGTTGGTACATTTCTGTTTAGGTCCCACCTAGTGACCATCCCCCCTGGCCCCATGTTGTCTGAGGCCCTGATGAACTCACCTGTAGTTGTTGGTGAAGATGGATCAGGCGCAGCCATGCAAGCTGTTGGGTTTGAGTTTGGTGTTGACCCCAACGAGGATCCAGAATTAGCCCTGGCAAGTACTGGTAGATTAAAGTATATATTCATTTCATCCTATCATTGGCTCTCGTATTTACCAGGATATAGATACTAATTTTAGTACATTATTCTAGGACTAGTAAAAGATAATCTTTAAAAGATGTCATGAACATCAATTTACTTTTACGTATATACTGACTATGAAACACACTGCACGTATATATATATACTATAATTGTAAAAGATATTTTTCGTACTTTTTAAATAAAAGTTGTCCTGAAACAGGCCTTTTAACACCATTGTCTTTTTATACGCCCGTCGAAGACGGGGACGTATAATGTTATCTTGTGAGCGGGCGGGCGGGCGGGTGGG